CGCTGCTGGCGGCCGGGTCCGTCGACGGCTCCATCGCCGTGTACGACGCCCAGCGCTCGTTCCAGGTGCGCAGGCTCGTGGGCGGCGCGCACGGCGACTTCAGCGTCGTCAAGGTCGAGTTCGTCAAGGGACACCCGCACCTGCTGACGTCTTGCGGCATGGACGGAGTTGTGAGACGCTGGGACATCAGGGGCACGACGGCGGGCGCTGCTACGGCGGCGGGCCAGGGGGCCAGCGCCTCCGCCGCGACTGCAGGGCTCATCAAGGAGTGGAGGGGCCACAGGGGCGATGGCGAGGGTGGGGGTGTGCTTGGGTTTGTGCAGGGTGAGACGGGCGAGCGGGTTGTCACTGCCGGCGACGATGGCGTCGTCCTTGTGTTTGAGGCATAGTATTCCTCGTCTGCCTCTTCCGGTCCAACATATGTCCAAGTGCTCTCCAGGGGCCTCTGATTGCTTTAGATACCTTTTTGTCCTTGCTTCCTCACGCGCGCTGGGTATTGCGAAACAAAAAGTTATTGAACAATGATTCGCACGTCATTTGGTGGTGTCTTTCTATTAGCGGCTGGCTTATCACTTTAGTGCATGCAGCCGTTATATACCATGCATTTTTGGCCATCACTTGCCCCTGGCTGCATGTTGCTTATACAACCCCCATGGGTTGACAATTAGCCCGTTGGACTTATTAAGTCTCCCCAGCTACCTAACCTGTAAGGTGAAGCATCCGGTTGTCATACCGGCACATCGCGTGTGGCTTTCCATATTTCGTCGACCAAGCTGAAAATGCTCACAGCGGCACGGTCCCCCTCAATAGCGAGATATCAGCATCACCCGCCAGCCCCATACCGACCGACCCTCAGACTCCAGGGCAGTTGTGAGAATCCACCAGCACGCGTGAGGAATCTTTTCTGGCGAGCACGCCAGCGGGCGGCCCGCACAGTCTGACGAGGCGACTAAGGCTTCGGTATATGGGACTGAGCAAGACCACGGCACGCGCCAAGCCCCACGGCGAAAGCATACGCACAGGCGTCGTCGACACCCTGGCCGCACAGCGACGAGGATGGTTCGGGGGTCGACAC